ATCTAGCTGGGGTCATCTAGACCCAGCACTCTTACCTGCCTATGCAGGGGGTCGGACTCGATGATCTATTGAGGTCCCTTCCGCCCCTAACATCTATGAATCTATGAATCCTCACTTGTGGCACACATACCACAGGTTGACCACATGTGTTCTAAACAATCTGACTGCATTTGTATGCAATGCAGTTTTATGAACCCACAGGACAACATTTGGCCCAAATTTAAACACCCCAGTCAAGTAAATGTAATTATATTGATCCATTCTAGGGCCAAATTTCACCAACGGTATCTTTGGAGTGTAGTTTATGGAGGAAGTGTTAGCTGCATCTCCCTATCCCTTTCTCTAGTACTGTAGAGAAAGGCATGTGTGAATTGTGGGGAGAGAAGTAAGTTGAACTATTAGTTGTATCACTGAGGGGCTGCCTTTCCCTTTGGACAAAGTCCTAAGTATATACAATTATAAGTGCTTCTAAATTTAGGAATAATTTGGCAAGCAAAATACGCATTCTTTTAAAAAAAATAATTTCAGATATTAATGTCGTGCGAGATCCAATTGTCAGAGACGCCATAGTCATTAGCCAGCTGCAAATGTATGGCATCATAGTCTTTCATTCCATAAATACTGGTCTCTGCTTGTGAACTAAAACAACAGTTCCTCTAGCTCAGCACTTAAAGAAAATGGATGTATAAACATACAGCATCATAGAAAACAGGGCTGGCAGGGACCTTGAGAGGTTACCCATTTCACTGTCCCGTCTCAAGGTAGTATCAATTCTGGCTAGATAATTCCTGACAGAGGTTTGTCTAACCTGCTCTTAAAAACCTTTGCATCTCCCATTCATATCCTATATGCGAACACAATTCCAAGGAAGGTTGTGGAATTTCCATCACTGAGGGTTTTAAGAGCAGGGACATGATCATGTCTAGCACTTGCAATTCTGTAGACAGTGGAGAGACAGAAGCCTCTCTTCTCAGAGGTGTTACAGTGATGGGATGTATTTTATAAAATAAGGTAAATGATCCACTCTCTGCAATAATGGGAAGGTGAGGAAGCAATTTCTTAACATTTATAACATCTAGCTAGTTTTGCTTATGCCTCCTGCCCTCATTGCTGTAGTAGCCAAGCACTTATCAAGAGTTTTAAAAAATAGAAACAACGATTAGCATAAGGTGGATACTTTAATGGCCTTTCATGTCTCAGTGTACAAAGTTTTGCAAACTCCTTGCACACCAAGACCAATATGAACCCCATCAAATTCAAATCTCTCATCCTCCCCCTGAAAAACTACTAAATCCAAATGAAAAATAAGGTAGAACAACTAAAAGGAGGATGTTCTTGCTGCTTTTAGTGATCATGTCTCCAGCCATGACATGATCTTCTGCCTGGTATGTGTATATATACTAGGAATACTTATATAGCCCATTGACTATTTGCCACACGGAGGGCGTGTCTACTCATTCATTAATGTGACGTAGTTACTGCACATTAAGTTTAGTACTGGCTCAGTAACTTGTACTACTGTGCAGTAACACCAACGCACAGGTTTTTAGTGACGCTTACTGTGTAGCTTAATACTACTGTGCAGTAGCTTATTAGCACAGTTTTTGCCCAGCACACTACTGTTCAGTTAGCGTAGACACACCCAGAGATGATAGTCCCTGAATTTGCTTCTGGACTAGTGTTATAAACAGTCGAAAAATAAGTTTTTCCGGTGTTTTAACACTGGTTCTGGATGAATAGCTTGAACTGAGCATAATTACAGCAACAATGCAGGGAAACCAGACGCCTAAAAATTAGTTAAAATTCTAACACAGGTTCAGGGTACAAATCCCGTTACTTAGCAGTTAGCTATATTTTTTTCTACAAGACTGCTTCAATATTCAAGGCACAGGTTGGATGTCTAGGGAGCATAGGGAGGCTGATATACAGTTGCACAAGAAAATATGACTCCACCACTTTCTAAATTTTGAGTACTGGCTTATGCAAATCAAATACACTTCTTTTAATATAGTGTTGTGGAGAGTTTAGGGGATATGTAATAATATACATGCAATAATGTGTGTGTGTGTGTGTGTGTGTGCGCATGTGCACTTGTGTGCATAGATGTATTTATCGTCTGCATCATTACCCCTATTAAAACTATTTAGTAATAGAAACATGGTTATAGAAATGGAATGAAGGGAACGATAAGATTGCTGCATCTGGACTACAATATTAGCATATGAATGGAATCTTTAGAGAGCTCTGGGCACTTGACATCCAAAAACATGAGGTATCTATAAACTAAAATAAATGTGCATCTCTAATCCTGGTATAGAATCTTTCTTCTGTAGGCTATACATGCAAGGGAATGTTTAAGCAACTGTTCAGAAACAGAAAAATAATGTTAATTTGGATAGATGAGAAAATAGATTGTTACAAGTAAGAGAATTTGCTAACTCAGCTGACTTATTTCACTGCTAAATGTCTACATTTATTTAGTACTACCTGAATCTAAAATACCTGTTTCATTATCCAGGAGCTCCTTAAAGTCTCTGCTGTTAGGCTAAACCAAAAAAGCCATAACAGATACATAATGAGGTTGTCACTTTCCAGAGGCAGTAACTTCCTAAAAAGAAGAATGGTCAGGATGGTGTGGTGATGTACAATTTGCTAAGGCATAGAGCCAGTGCAGGAGATAATTGTTTAGGGATTTTAAAATTAATTTTAAGAAAGAAAATTGTAAAGTGAGGAGCAGGGTTGGATGGGGAAGGGACAGGACCTGTAAATAATCATCTACTCCAGCTGGTATAAATCAATCTCCTTCCATTGATTTTAGAGATATACCAATTTGCACTAGCCAAAAATAAGACCCATTAGTTTGATAGTTGTTATCAAAATGAGATATGTGGAACTGATTCCAATTTGTATGGCATGCTTTTATTACAGGAATACCAAATTGATATATTTTTTGCCCAGACCTGGACAGACAGCCGCCTTCGTTTCAACAGCACCATGAAAATACTGACTCTGAACAGCAATATGGTTGGCTTGATTTGGATACCAGATACAATCTTCCGAAATTCCAAAACAGCAGAAGCTCACTGGATCACAACACCCAACCAGCTCCTGAGAATATGGAATGATGGGAAAATCTTGTATACTCTAAGGTAAGAAGAGGACATGTTTGACTAAAACTGCTTGGTGTCCCTTTCTGAATAGTGTTTTTGAAAGCTGGGCTTTTTTCTTCTGCACTTCCCAATTTAAAATCTGAAGGAAGAAGTGTCAAAATTCTGGAGGAAACTAGATGCATGCAAGCAGCCATGTCTGCTCACTTATACAAAACATGATGAAAAATCGTACATCGTATGTTTTGTCAAAAAACATAATTACTTAAATATTAGAGTTTAAGTAAACAATATGGTGTTTCAAGTTATACGTTTGTATTTTAAAATGGACCCGTTTACATCAAAGGCTGTTTTTATTCATTTGAGAAACTGGACTATTCAGATATACCATTCTACCATAAACAAGATTCTCTACAAGCAGTCTGCTTGTGAAATACACCTTCCATGTTACACCTTCTGCACTAATTGTATTCAGCTTCCTCAGTGCATTGTCACACTCATGATACTTGGTTACCAGTAGGAATACCACTGCTGAAAACTGCTACTTAGTTTTTATAGTATTCTCCTATTTTGAAGTTTAATGCAAACCTCGAAAGAATCTTGCTTATTTCAGTGGGTCCTGATAAATAAGAGAAAATAATTTATAACCTTGGTTGTAGACACGTAGCATGTTTAAATGTGTGTAATTTACCTTTCCATCAGTCTAAATGTGGAAAAGACACACAATGTACAGTTTTATAGTAGTATAAGTCACTCCAATTCAAAGGAAAGTTATTTCTGAAAGTTAAGAGTAACTATGCTGGTGTTTTGTGTTCACCAGCTACGCCAGTGTTGTATGTTCACAATTCCAGCTCATTTGGGTTATCTGTTTGCACAGTGAGAATGGATTACTACTTGTGCCTTGCCACCTAGTGGTGATATGGTGCAATAGTACCTACTACACATAGCTGTGTGTCTGCTCTGTACAATAACGTAACTTCAATGAATGTCTAAACTGAGAGAAATTACACTGGTGTACATGTGCTGTGTGTCAGTGTGTGGATGTGAATGATCCCACTTCTATTGTAGTAGAGTGCAGATATTTCTGAACAAATTGGCTGATAGATTTTTCTATCAACTGGTCATTATATCAACAAGAAGCAAAGCTACCTCGAATGAAGTTTGGGTTAATAGCAAGGATCTCGTAAAATAACTGGCTGTGGGAAATAACATAACAAAGGTCTTCACTTTCAAAAGGACTAACTTGGAAAAAAACCCAAATATCTCTTAGGTAAAGTGAATGACTGGACTGATCATTTTAGAGGAAAAATGGATAGGCAAGGACTGCAAAACTTGTGGATGAACAAGAACCTTAAACAGGCTGTTATGAATAAATGAAGGATGTGAAAGCAATGGGAATTGCCAAAGACTTAGCTGAGCTTAATCCTATGAAGAATATTAAAATTAACAGGAAAAAAAAACCCTTCTATGGTCATATAAATAAAAAGAGAATCAGAAAGGAAGAATTAGGGACAATGTATGTTGCCGATAGAGTAGATATCCAGGACCAACCAGGCACAGCCCAAGTATTCAATAAATACTTTGCCTCAGTCTTCATTCAGGATGAAGAAGTAACTGAGAAAACTTGTGGTGTACTGACAGTGTGGGTATGAATATACAATTTACCAGCTCTGAGGTGGAAGCAAAATTTATACTGGTCTCTACTGCAGAATCTGAGGGCCTAGATAATCTCCATTCTAGTACACTGAAGGGATTAGCACATGAAATAAATACTGACTCCTCTATTACAGATTTTCATGGAATCTGTCAACTCGGGGGCAGTACCCTGTGCCTAAAAACATTGAAAATAAAATGCTCATTATCAAAAAAAAAAAAAAAAAAAGGGAGAAAGAGTGATCCAGGCAATTACAGGCGTGTTAATTTTACTTCAGTAACAATTGTTCAGTATCTTAGAACAAATACTGAAAGAAAGAATAGTTAAAGATATGAAGGAAAGAGGAAACGGGATAAAACACAAGATGGGTTTATCAGAAGATGATCATGTCAAACTAATGTCCTTTTTATGACAAGAAAACAGGCGTCTTGGATAAGGGTAATGCAGTATCTTAATTTACCTAGGCCAAAGCAAAGGTTTTGATACTGTGCCTCATGCAAAAGTATTGGCCAAACTTGAGAGGATGAGAATTAGTACTACAAGCATGAGGTGGTGGACAAGGAGTTGGATCAGAAAGAGATTACAGCTGGTTATGCTGAAGGAGGAGTCATCTCAATGGAGAAAGTTTACCAGTGGTATCTCCTTAGAGATTAACCTAAGAGCGTTGAGCCCTAGTTCAAGTCTGGGTTCGTGCCCGGTATGCAAAGGCCAATAAAGATATCAGGGGTGAAAGGATAAAGAAGATTTATTGCTAGCAATAAAAGGTGTAAGCGGAATAATTTTATGTAACAAGCACACCGGTTTTTAATTTTAAGCATCTTTTATACAGGAGTATTGGACTTTTATAAGCATTTTTGTTTGCTAATTGGTTATAAAGGAGTGACGTAAGGAGTTCTTTATTGAGCATGTCTCTATACCTGTGTTTTAGCTATGTATCTTATTTATATACATGTATGTTTTATTAGCATACTTTTTCCCCACCTAGGGGTGTGATTTTTGGTATTTAAATTAGCTCTTTGCCCTAGTCCTCTGATTCTGCTTTTGTTTTTAAGCCTCCTTTATTTAAGACTGTCTCCTCCTTATCATTGCAGATGGGCATTAGTTATATAATAGAGACTTTTACTTGGGCATTGGTGGTATAGTGGTTTTTAGGTCAAACCTGACATTCCCCTCTCTGGAGTATTTTTAATTATTTTTATTATAATTGCTCCACTCAATTTGTTTTAACACAAATCTAGTATTTTTAGCTTTTTTTGTTTGCAAAATTATTTGATTTATCTTAGGCCTGAAGATAGATAAGAAGACAGGTAAACATTGTATATAGCAACAGGCCATAATCCCCATAACACAAAATAAAACAACCATATTAAATAACTGTTTTAACCATCTAACATTGGGAAGCCAGGAAGTTAATCAGGATAAGTCTAAGCCAGATGATTCCAGACATTTTTTTGTGGGTCAAAAATTTTTTTGTTGTAAAAGATTTTTTTTTCCTATGAGTAGGAGTGGACAGATCAGGGTGCCCCACAATAAAACTTTGAACAATTTTATAATAAGGCTTGTAAAACTTAATCAAAGATTGACAAATTATTTAAAGTTCCTTTCTTTTGAATAGGAATTTTAAGTCTATTATTGGCTCCACCTTCCACTGTTTTTTGCCTCTGGTCCCGGAGTCTGCAGAGGGGGTTTTTTGTTCCGGTCTAGCCACCAGCTTTAGGCGACTGGAACGTATTTAAGTCTTGATTTTTTTGAGCTTTGCGGCTGTCAGGGTCGTTAGAAGTATCCTATATGGGCCTTTTTATCTGGCTTGAAGTGGTTTTTTGTTTTAATCTTTTATAATGACGTAATTTTTAGGTAATAATCGATTTTCCGGGGCAGGAGACTGGTCTTGTGTCTGTAGCACATCCCGTATCTGCTGATGGATGGAAGACAAAACAGAAACCAAGGATTATATATATTTTTTAATCATTCCCTCTCCTAAAACATGTAACTGTTGTTTAGTATTTATGGGCAGACTCAGAGGGTAAGGCTTATCATACATTCTCTCAAACGGGCTTAATCTTAATTTAGAATGTGGTG